CATTGCCCTTCGGCTAAAAAAAGTAATCCGCATGTTATGAAGTCGTGTGTGTGTAGCGTATTTGTGAGTAACGTAAGTTAATGGTTATAAGTATAGATACTTCAGTGTGATAGGTCATCGTGTAGGGTGTGGCTCTGTACAGTGTGTACTTAATCTTGACGAGTTGTAAGAATTACTATATAAAATAGTTTGTGAAATATTGTTATACATGCAGAGACCAATACTATTAAAACTTAAAATATGAATTCTGATTCGGATTCGGATTTGTGGTTATCCTACTGATTTTCAAAGGTATACTGTTCCTTTCGACATCAAGCAAAAACTAAACTCTATTTCTTTTGATAACTCTCGAGGCAATTTTTTTTTTTTTTTACCTCTTAAAACGTTCTCCTTTGTCATTACGATAGTGAATTCAACTATGAGTGACTTTATTTACTCTTTACTTAAGTTATTTCCATATACATATTTAATATGATCGTCTTGCAGACTTACACCAATTGTTTTTGCCTAACTAAGATACACATTTCCTACTTAGTTTCCGGTATTTTATCATTTCAAATCTTATTTTACATACAAAGGTTCCGATTTTGTCCTCTAATGTTTGTATCTTCACTTTGTCTTCTACTCTTTCTTCTTCCAACTTTTTAATTTTTGCAAGCACTCCATCGTACTTATCAAACATAAACTGGACACTCTTTTGCAAGTCAGCATTTTGTTGCTTAATGGCTATGAATTGTTGTTCCACTGATGCTGACAATTTAGATAAAAGCTCTCGCATTTCTTTTCTTACTTCCTAGAAATCGTCATCTTGATCCCGACGCCTCTTTGTGCGAACTCAGACTGAGTGACTATGTCGTATACTTACTTAACTACAAGAGGCATGGTTGACTAGTGACATGTTTTGGCGGGGCACTACCGTGCCCCCAGATCCGTTTATTTATGACCGTTTCAATTTTTAGATATTATCACTCTTGTTTCTAATAAAAACAGGTAAAATGTGTTAACATCTATCGAACTAAATTTTTAATTTTGAAATTATTCAATATAAAAATTAAAAAATGTATTACTGAAGTTTATACCTACTAAATTGCTAATTCAAGTTTTGGTTTCTTTTTTGCGGAAACGTTAATACGTTACGTTAAACATTAATCGATATCCAGGTTCCATCACAGCTTTGCGTAGGTATATTTAGAAGAGCTAAACCTTCTACTATTTCCTGTGCCATTAAGGCATGCAACCAAGTTTTTAGGAAGGGTAGAAAACGCCATGCCGTAGGTAGATAGAGTTGCTAGTACTTGTAAAGAAAACTTTTATCTATCATAATAGACCTATCGATTTCAATAGACCGTGAAACTGTGACGTCACAACTATATTGATGTTGCATGACCATCGCGCCCAGAAGTCTATCGCGTCAAGAGTTGTGTTGTGGCAACTGCCACATACAATGAAACGTAGAAACATACTACAGCGCCATCTAACGAAGACACACCGACCTACGGAGTAAGTCTTGAATGAGAATTGCTAACCCTGTTAGCAATTCTCATTCAAGAGTTGATTAGCGTATATACAACTTTTGGCCTGGTCGGAACCCCGAGTATTCTGAGTTGCGTAATTTACGTTTAACTGAAATTCGGTTGGATTGCCAGACGGACGGACGTAACTTCAGATGCTGTCCAACGTTTGTACTAATTCTGCCCCCCATAGTTCAAAAGGCGCATGTAACAACGAGCCAAAATGAAGTTTTTTTAAAATAAATTTAATTTGAAATCATTCCCTGTCTTTGAGTACATTAAAATAATTAAATATAAAAATTGGAATTTATAGGCATGATAATAGTCTTTGACACTAAGTAATAAAATCATCGATATTTTTAAGTTATTTCATTAAAAATAAGAAAAAACCGTTCCATTTTAGTATACAAAAATACTCAAACGCTTTTAGAGTACTTTTAGTCTAAGTATTTGTGTGTAGACCTGTACTTTGTTTTAAGAAAAAACGTCGCATTTAGTAATATACACCTCTTTACATAAGTTTTCAAAACTATAAAGATAATGCTATCCTAAGGATTAAAATACATATAATTATCTATTAATTGTTTCATCTGACTAATTAATCTGAAAATAGATTAACCTACTGTATATGATCCGTTTAAAACCTCTAATAATTATCAAATATCTTCGATAGTTTTCTTCCCAACGTAAGTCTAACTTTACGAAGTAGATATGGCGCAAGTGGCAGATATAGACGGTTTTTCTTAGTGTGAGAGCAGTTTTTTAATTAGTGCATTAGGCGTAAATGGTTACATGCGCCTTTTAGATTACCGAACTTAAAAAAAATCGCAAGGAATATGGGCGTATTTATGTAAATACGACTATTTCTTTAAGTTTTAGATGAGTTCGTCTTTTCAACTTCAATAAGGTGTAAAAAGTATGCATAAGCGCATTATTTTGTTGTTCTAAAATTCCAATGAAGGAAGGCAGAAAAATTTAAAAAAAAATAAAAGCAGATGCGCGTTTTTTTCTGATGCCGGCAATATATATAACTCAAATTTCTAAAAAATGTTAGATGCGCCTTTTCAACTATCGGGGGCAGAATTGTGCTAGCACCATTACGCAGAAACTGAGCGCAATTCGGTTGAATAATGCAGTCGAAATTCTGAGACTCATTCTACTCGACTCACATCTTCTATACAAATAAATAAAATTGGAGTGTCTGTTTGTAATATTAAAATAACCGCTTTTTACTAAATGCATATGTATGTTTACACGGTACATATGCCAAAATAACATTTTTTACAATTCTTGTCTGTCTGTCTGTTTGTTCCGGGTAATCTCTAGAACGGCTGGACCGGTTTCGACGGGACTTTTACTGGCAGATAGCTGATGACATAAGGAGTAACTTAGGCTACTTTTTTTAGACTAGCTTCGCCCCGCGGCGTTGCCCGCGGTTATAACAACAAACGCGGGTAACAACGCAGGTCTCACCTAGTCTCAAATAATTACGCTCGTTTGGCCTCACCTAAATGTCACTAAGTTTTTAAGCCAGAGAGTTGATAATAGACAGTTCGAGTTAAAGCTAACTACGAGTAATAATAACTTTATTGAGTTGTTGCTTACACTCCCCAAAACATCTATTATATCGTTTTACTTATCTAATACATACATTTCTAATATATTTTTCCTCTTTTGCTAAGAGGAAAAAAGTATAACGTTTACTTGATTTTGTCATCAATTTTTAATCATTTATTTATCATAGGAGATGTCCAGAAATGGTTTTTTATTCTTGAAATATTCCAGTAGCGATGAACCAAATATTTTTGGTCAGGCTTTCCAAGAACTAATATAATAATTTTAAAAAGGAATTTTTAAACTATTGCAATTTTGAGAAAACATCGATTTTACTTTGGCATATTGGTAAGCCGAATAAAAAGAAAACTTCTGCTACCCATGCCCAAGAAAAAATAAAATGACAAGTTTGACAATAGGGAATATGCACGTGACACCGAAATGGACAAAATATTTTTATTTGTAATTTTTGTTGCTAAAAAAAGATACCCATACAATTATTTTTGAAATTTATTATAATTTAATAGTGAAATTTAATCATCAAAAATTGGCTTTTTTGAGATTCCCTCGCAAATTTCTAAAACGCAACGCTATTGGTTGAATAAAACGTGACGTCAACCTACACTGTCAAGAGTGTCAAAAAGTTGTGTGTATTTGTAATATTTGGTTTATGGTGATTATTTGTTTCATTTTAAGTTAATAACTAATACGTTTTCAGTGTTAAATTATTAAATTCCCGTGTAGAAAGACTCAACACAATGACTGAATATTTAAAATTGCACTTTGTCAGGTGCAGTTTTGATATTATTTGGGCACAAAGGAACGGCACAATATTTATAATAAGTTTTTATTGGCTTTTCCATGGTAATAAGTTAATTTTTATCACTCACTTTTTTAACTTTCACAAACTTTGTGAACTTCACTCCGTTGTTGACATCGAATTCGTCTGAGAGTGGAATCTGACGTCACAAAAAAAGCGCGCCAAAATGGACGTGTTCAAATTGCCCCAAAATGATAGCGATTTTAATAAAAAATTTTTTGCTTAACGGTTTATATTTCGGATGTGTTATATTTATTTTTGGTAATGTAATAACTAGTAGAATCGTTAAAAAAAATACATGCATATTCCCTATTGTCTCAGACACTTCACACGTGATAGATGGACAACGTTTCTGTTAATGCATTTGATGACAGTTTGTTTTGTTTTCATTTTTAATATTTGCTTTGAGTATGCTATGAAGAATTGTGAGATTTCTATAACTATAAAGAAAAATGATATCCATCCATCATGTTCAGATGAAAAGCGTTCCCTACTATAAAATCTTGTGAACAAACAAGATCATTTTTTATTTATTATTTATGTATTTTTATGAACTGGTAACGAGACCTTTAAGCCAAGTCTTAATTTATTTATTTTTGATAGATAACTTCACTATTTTCACTTCACTTCAATGTTCAATCTCAATCAAAAGTGCATGATTCTAGGAGGGAATATGAACCGCTCAAAATCCTCCGCCCCTTCAGCTCAAATACCCGCCTAGCAATCCCCAAACAAGATTAAATGGTATTTTAGTATTGCCAACCTCTACTAAAATATTTACTAACATAAAATATTACTTTAATTTAGTGTCGTGTTTGGTTTACCTAACACATACTTATGGTAGGTATTCAAAACAGCTGTAGCAGTTTAAAAAAATAACAAGAAAATAATTTACACATTTTGTAACTACTGTACTACTACGGAGTTCGTTTTCGAACATATTATCACCCAACACAACATCAACAATAGCGGTAGCCAGCGCTGTCATTAAAACGTCAAATGCTGTCACTTATGTTATGTTATGTATGTCAGTCTCAGTCATTTTGTTGACTTTGTTGCAGTTGATTGTTACAGTTTGGTTACTTAAAATAGAGTTTATTTTATTGTGAACTGTAATGAATTCTCAAAACAAATCAACGGTGTTATCGGCCGATCTAAATAATTTCATTTACGGCGTCTCGAGGCGGAACGCTCAAAATGCTCCTGATTTGACTAAAACTGGTGTTAATCTTCTAAAGAACTTCCCGGCGGCTAGAGATGCCGTATTGGAATATTTCGCTATGGTTTTTCACGATGCTGTGAATATGTCAATCAGTCAAAGCGAATATGAGGTTTTTATTAGTGTTTCTTGTTCATGAGGACTTTTATATCCCTTAGATAATCTTTATTACAAGAAACCTTTCTTTGGAAATCTGTATTGCCTAACTTTATAAATAAATATTCACCATTATGTATACATGTATATATTGTTACAATTTCAGGCAGACATGGGTAATGGTTCATTGGAAAGTGTAAACATGATAGGTCCGGAGCTATGCAGCCTCGGCCAGGCTTGGGCGCCGTTTATTGCACCTTGGTGTATAAACTTAATCATGGACATTGCTACTAAGAAGTCTAGTGTACCAAGTAAGTATCGAGTAAATATAAACATCCATTAATCTGTATGGCCTTAATACTTGTTATAAACTGAATCATAATGATTAATTGGTCTAGTAGTAGGAAATAATATGCATATTGGTGACTCAAATTGAAGTTCTGGCAAAGAAATAAACTTACTATTTAAATATCAGCCTTCAAATACTGCTAAGGGACCACCTATAAATTAGATAAGATTGCCCTAGTGTATTAGTCACAAAGCAAAATTTGTTGCTAATAAGACAATAAGAATTCTGTGGGAGATGCTTTGTGTTATAGTTACTGGCCAGTTCTGACTACTGGAGAGGAAACTGATAATATGTCTAGATATAGTTGTTTAAATAAATCTTAGACTAAGCAATGGAATGAGTTTTCATCAAATAGGATTAAATATCCAATAGGTACCCCTTTTATTAATTTTTTTGTTTATGCGGCAATCCCCTTTGATACCACCCACTGGTGGTTATGTCGGGCAAGAACCAACCGAAATCTGCAAGCACTCTCGGGTATCAGTAGCCTAGGAAGGTAATCCCTCTAACCCCGACGGACCCTTCTACGGCTTATAAATGACCCCCCCTCGTGTTCCCATTCTACATCGCTGATGTTGATGGGCCATACTTTGGACCAAAATATCCTGTGCACCGGCACCGTGGCCCATGTTCACCTGGATGGTACAGAGATGTGGATAAATTATTGGAGTTCCATCTCCGCATCCTGCTGGGACCTTTGCGGCAACTCTCAACTCTCTAGCGGCAGTCGCTTTCTCTATCGACGGCCTATGGGCGGAAGGCCGGCTTCCCGGCTTCAGTCCCGAATCACATGCCTTACTGCCACCCGCTGGTCGGCAGGCTTACCACCCGCTGCGCACCTAAAGCAACGCAGCGGAGCATTACGGCCACCCACCTTGTGACCGGGCTGGCCACAGTGGAAGCAGAGGTCAGCTACGGTGACCAAGACCAGCGATAGAGAACACGTCCACGTCCGAGAAGGCTGTTGCCACCTCGGCCCGAGTTGGCCGTAGGCAGCGCAGCGCAGCGAAAGAGGCGCTGTCGTCTTCGTTGCCCAGGGTGCACCACGCAGAGGTCTGATCCCCACACCCCCAATAGGTACCCTTTTAGTATTAAAGATAATTTATTTTCAAGTTTAATAAAGTTACTAAGGAGACTAGTGCTATACATAGTGAATCTATTATCTTTATTTACCACAATAATGTAATTCAAATTTTTTACAGACACAACTCTTCAAAATGCTGATCCAGTTCGGATTTTGCTGGATATAACTACACAGAATTTGACTCTCTTGAATTCAGAAGAGAGAGCAAAGTGCATTGATATGATGTTAGGTAAGATCTAGTACCTAAAATAACTAAATATATTAATGTAACTAACTAAATTGGTTGTGGGAGAGCTATGCCTCGGCATGAGCCACCCCGTCCACGAGTGATACTATGGCTAAATCCGTCCTGGGTTAACCGACCCTCCTAATTATGTTAGTACTCAAAAGGGCGGCAACTCACTTTTGTGTTTTTAGCTCTAGGAGTTGATGGACAGCGGTAGTCACTTCCCATCACGTGACCTGCCTACTTCTTTGCATCCTTTAGTATACAAAAAATAGGAATGCTACACTAAGAAGTTACTTTTGTAGTATCATTTCTTTTTGGTGATAATTCTGTTGTTCGAAAACTCTTTAAACTAACGTAGTAATTGACCGGACTTAACTTTTTAGAGATTTTTAGTTTAGTTTAGAGAATTTTCGAACAACATAATTAGCACCATTGACAATTGAGAACTTGTGCTCGCCCTTTAGACTCTCTCTCTCTCTGGAATGTATAGTCCATTAAAATACTAAAACCAGAATTCATGTAACACCTAAGAATATTTTAACTTGTAGGTTCCAGGGCGTGTTCTTGGGCAGTGGGCTGGGTGGGACGCGCCGAGCCTGCTTTGGTTGCTCCCCGGGCTTTACAGCTGGGAGCCGATGCGGCCCGCGCCGTGCTAGCTCACCTCGCTAATCATCCGCCTGCTACACACCATGTGCGAGTGGCCTTACTTCATTTGTTCCATGTATGTATCTGGTATTTCAATGACATTAAGCTAAACAATCTGTTTTTTTTTCTTCATGATAAAGTAACAATATATAATAAGTAAATGCACTACAGTAATAGTAAAGAAAAACCACAAGTGGTCTAATACTGCCATCACTCGCTTATCTCAACAATATCAAGCTAAATATTTTGTAATAAAAAAAATTATATTTGTTTCAGGAAGCACTTAGAGAAGATGGTGACAGTGAAAAGAAAAGAGAAGTGATTCCATATTTGTTGACTCTAGCGTCCAAATCTGATATTGTATTGAAAGCACTCACTCAAGACATTGAACAGACATGTAAGAATTTTTGCAAATGTGTGATTTTAATTAACTATTACTAAAAAAAATTTGTAAATGCATGACTAAAGAACACACATGTATACGTATAATAATATACTTACCGAAATTGCACACACATGTAAACCTGACCAGGTATTTCCTTTGCCGTGTGTAACTTTTATTCAGAAAAAAGACAGGAATATTTCCTAATGATGGGAAAACAAAAACAAACTCTTACACAAGAGATATCGCAGAGCTTAGTTATAAAGAAGATGTAGAAATTTTTAAAATTTTATGTTTTGGTCTTCCACTCCAACACAACACTATTCAAGTCAGAGTGTAAGTTTGAATGCGATCGAAATAGTGCATTGTAAATAGCGTGGTTCTGTCGTCATCGTCAGTGACGGACGAGGTGATGGAGCGGCTGTGCGCGGTGTGCGCGTCGCAGTGCAAGAGCGTGGCGTGGGCCGACGTGGGCCCCGGCGCGCTCGTGGCGCTGCTGCTGCGCGCCGACGTGCGCTGCCTGCTGCTGCTGCTGCGCCACGCGCTGCCCACCAGCGCGCACCCCAAGAATGGCTTCTGTAGGCAGCTCGTGGGTGAGTATCCCAGTTATAACGGGTGTTATGATACATATAACAAAAAATGAAATAACAGATAACACGGTTCAATATACGTCGGTTACAATAAAAAAAATAGTACGAAAATACAGAAATGCAAATTTAGAACAAACTAAATATAATAAAACAATTTCCGAATTAGAACACCAATGATAACATGAGTCGGTGAACTGTACACGGCAGCGTCTCAATGTCGGCGACATCAAAGCGACGCCGCCGCCGCCGCGAAAGGCGGGCAAACTTTACATTCTTATTACCTACCTACGAATCACTTCACTTGCTGTTTTTAATTTATTTATTAAGAATACGATTTTATTCACGTGTTTATTTTGGGAATGCTCGACTAGCTTCGGACGCGGCAGTACGTGTCACTCCTTGAAAAAGTAGGTACTTTGGTTGTCTCGTAATCTTTGTACCGCCCTTACAAAAATTCGGCAGTCTGTAGGACATACACGATTGACTCCATACCTGTCCGTAAAACAAAAGATGCGTTTTGATAGTTTCCCATAAATTAACATCATGGCAGGATATTCCGCGGCTGTGAAGGTCACTCACGGCATTATGGACGTTGATACCGATAACCCAGTAAAATTGAAAGACTGATAATTCACTCAGTTTCACACTACACTACACACAGAACCTAATATTGTCACTTTTCAAAAAATAAAATTGCAGGACTCGTTACATTACGAAGTCTTGCGCACACGATATCATTAATTGTTCACACCATTGCCGTGTATTATGACGAAAGCAATAAGGCTAAACAATTATTAACACAAGAAAACTTTTCTAAACAAATATGTATCTCATGAACAATAACAATATTATTATTACGGTTATTTGTCGTGAGCGCATCTACAAGGATACAGAATAGCATAACACTCGCCGGTGGCCAACGTATGATTACCGCGCCGCGTATACAGCTGATCGCCGCCTGAGGTCAATGTATTATGACTGCATGTACACATGATGAACAAAACAAAATGTCCTGTTTCTAAACCACTGAATATTTTTGTTCATATTTTGCAAATCGTCTAGAAATAAAGTGCAGAATATGTTGTTTACAGCTTCGTGAAAACATAAGTGACACGCCGTATAAGAGCGTGTCGTCTAAGGTGTACAGGGTTACTGTTTAAGTCGACCTAGATACTTTAGGAGGTTGTAGTAACCATTATTAATAATAGATTTCACAATGAAATACCATATCCCAAACCCAACCATTTTCAATTTTGCCTATTACAATTTTTTTTGAACTTATATCATGAATTTTTTTCTTGTCTTAATTTTTTACCGTTTTTGTGTAGTTGATACATTATTTTAAAATTACCATTACCAAAATTGTAGTTTACTTACCAAACTGGGCCGAAATAGATGGTTAATAAATAGTAAAAAGATAAACAATTTTTGCATTTAGGTCATAATCTGAGATACGACATTTCCAACTTAATAAACACACATGTAGATTTATAAAGAATATTCTTTTCAGCAAATCTACTTCAACAGTTGGAGTACGAAGGCTTACATCGTGATAAAACGATACCCTTAATCACGAGCGCTGTAGAAGAAATTCATATAGTTAGAGACAAGCTGTTGGATGGCAGTCAGTATGAGAAGTTCTGTTTAGCGAGAGTTCTTATTGTCATCAGTGAGTATAGTACATACATCTACTAGTTTTTTACCGACTTCAACAATACTCAATCTATATATAGGTACGTATTTATGTTTTTCTCTAAATTATTGGAACGAAGTTCCTTATCGTGCGTTGTGAAAGGGGGATAGACGGAAAAAATTCTCACGAAAAGTTGTAACGACACTTTTTATTTTGAATTGTCACTTGTCAGTCATTCAGCGCCATCTATCGAATAGATAGGAAATCATTACTTTTCATCTGAGTAAAACATTGTATTAGTATTTATACGTTTATTTTTTTCACAATCGATGGTTTGAAAGTCTCGACAGCTATCATTGTTGTCGCTGTCTGTACATGTTAAACCCGCTATTGGGCAATCCTAGCCGAGTGCCAGATCTCCTCTTTTGTTGGTGAATTATTTGGGTTAGACGAGGTCATATCAATATAATGTTAGTCAAAAGTACTTTGGACCGATTTTGCCGCTTAAAATAAATTTTGACCATTTAAGAGTTCTGCATACCAAGAATATATATAAATCCAGAAATCTTTCTATTTTCAGGCAGCAATCTACCCTCGGAATTCGTGAGCACGATCAGTTATTTACTTCAACATTCCAGAGACGAGTCAACGTTAGCCTTACTGGTTCGTATTGTATCTGGCACTATCAGAATGCATGTGCCAAATGACTCTTCCGACATAAACCTGGATACCGACAGGTACCAGAACCTTATAAAGACTGGTGTGGAATATGCTCTGAGGGACGCCATGCTGGCGGATGACGAAATTAAGAGCTGCTTCATCGATGGGAGTATGCCGGAAGACCAGAAAACGTATCTTCATTATTTTAGCTTGAATATTATAAAATTATTGAGGTGAGTTAAGTGGTTTGTATTCTACGCAAATAATAATAATTAGTATTTAAAAGTAAAAAGAGTACCACTGTTAGACTTTTTAAAGCGTACCATTTGAACCCATTGACTCGAGCGATTTCCTAGCTACTGAAAAAATTCACAATAAACCTCCTGGCTCTTTTTATATTAACTCCAAGATGCCAAAATATAATATTGTCATCCAAACTACATATAGGTACATATGTATAAGTATAGTATTAAATACAAAATAAAAAGTTTTAATTCAATACGAAATTAATCAGTATATTTTTAGGGAGATATATCCTTTTGAGGGTATTTTTGTATTTATTGTTTCCAAGAAACATTAAGATTCACATTTTTTTTTTTAAATTAGAACAACAACACAGGATCACAATGGCTGATTAAACCCAAAATATTTGTAGTTAATAATATTGATAGTCATTATTAATTCTGCATATTGTTTTTTTCTGTAGATGGGAGAACTCAGGCCGCGTCCCTCATTTATCGACGCGTCCGTTCGGTCGCGCGGTGGAAGCCAATCTGTACCGCGTGGGCGACGCGCTGCAGCAGTACGCCTCCCTGCTGCGCGTGCGCCGCGACTCCACCATGGCCTCCCTGGACGAGATGCCCACCTGCCACGCTCTAGCCGAGGTACTCGGCCTCACCTGGCCTCGACACCCTTTTATCAAGATGACTAAGGATTTGTTATATAAATATTTCTTTCTCAACTACCATCTGACAGTCACCTATAGTTAAACCGCCGTAAGCTTGGCCCTCCTGATGGTTTGCGGGACGCGGGGCGGGTGATGCGCTCGGCTATACATGACACGATGTACTAACTCGATATCTTCAGATTTATTTGTTTGAGATTTAATCTACACACGATGTAATAAAAATCGAATTTATTTCCATGTATTATAATGTCAGTGTATTGCAAGTTTTTATGATTAATTGTAAAATTTAATACTGTAAAATAATTTTAATAAAATCACCTTATCTTCATCATGTAAATTATATTCAAATACAATTAAAAAATTAAGTAACATAATAAATATTCTTTATTAGAACTTTAACAGTAGAACCTCTGTAAGCCGAACTTCAAGTTTTTAAATCTTTTTGTGACGCAGAGTCGGCAGATTATCCATGTTGCAAAATAATACCGTGTGTAGCGGTCTTAAGAAAAATAACACGTACAACCATGCTTTTACGTCAGTCACTGCCGGCGGACAGCGACGCACTAGCTAATTGGTTGAATGCACCCCCCAAACCATCAGGAGGGCCAAGTTACGGCGGTTTAACTATAGCATCGCGCGATCTGATTGGTTAAATTGTATTCGTTGTGGTACTTACTTTGGTCCTTTTTTATCAAAGCACACACACACAGAGTACAAGAAAGCGTGTGGAAAAATGTCAGACATCAAAAATGCGTGTTTTTGCAGAAAAGTCTGCAATACTTCATTCATTATAAAACTTGTTTTGTCCTAGATTTTGGACCGAGTCGACATGTCTGGGGCGAATGGACCTGCACCGACTGTTGAAGATATATTGAAAGTAGTACGTGCCACTGTCCAGTATTTTTTTAGATGCATACATTTAAAGGGTAAGTTACTATAGGCAAAATTGTATTCATACACAAATCGTGAAATTGGAAATTCAGTGAGTCAATATATCAATAGTACTGCACAGATGAGTAGTGGTTTAAGCGGTCGCCACGCCGCTTCCTCCTACGTTGAGTATTGTGGGTTCGAGCCCCACATAGGACGACACTTTGTGTGATCCACAAATTGTCGTTCTGAGTCTGGGTGTTCTTTGCGTCCGTTTCTTGTATGTTTGTAAAGTCCCCCGCGACACAGGATATATTTGCGGGAGTTGTCATTTTTTTAAAGAATTAATAAATATTCTGAGGGATGTAAAAATTATTTCAAAACCAGCGGACAAAAGCTAGTGGTAAATAGTTTTCAAATAACGAAGAGTTTGTTATATAGACATGTAGTTCGTAATTTTAAGCGATTTGAATTAGTTGTCCTCCTTGTTATATTTAGAGAGCATAAAATGGGTCTAGGTTGAAGGATGAGCAACGGTTTGCAAAGCCTTGTAGTTTCATCCGATCGACTTTGGTTTGATTGGGCTGTCAGGAAAACAAGATTGATACTTTATTGTAAATAACCAAAAAAAAATTCTTATTATTTACTTGTCATAGGACGTAGTTTAAGATTATACGTAGATTATAATTAAATAATGATTTTGTTTTATATATCTCATAGATACGAGTGAAAAACTCCGCTCTGTGACTATCGCTTGCCGCTTACTCCACAAGCAGTGTGTCCACACGCATCTCGCCAGGTCGCTCGCTATGAGAGAATTGTTAGAAACGGCAATGTTTCGGGAAGATACGGCTTTCGGCAGTCGGCCTGTCATTCCGAATATAATCTCTGCTATGAACAAATGGAATAATGGCGATTTGTTGATACATTTTAATCAGAAGCATGTGAGTATCGTTTTAGGTAATTACGTCCAAGGCAAAGATGAAACAAAATATCAGGGATCAGTTCAATGTTGCCCATATCCCCCCTCTCGGTCCTCTAAATAAAAAAATGCCCCCTTAATTGTTTCCAGGGTCCCATAACGCAACTAACACAAAGTCACACATCAGTGTTCCATGCGGGCATTATCGGCAAAGGAGTTCGTAAGCAGGACAACTCGGATGCGAACGACATACCGCCCATACTGACCACTAATATTGAGCTGTTGATGGGTGCTCTTATGTCTTGCATGGTAAGCACTTCTTAGCCAACTCTTCTCTTAATGATAATCTTCTTTATTTATTGGTACGTAAACATTGAATCAAATACCTGTTTTTAAGTTAGATGTACCGTACCTGTTCTGTTATTAAGTACATGTACATATTAATAATATTTTAAAAGTTTAGAATTTTTTAATGTAAGTATTTGTAAATTACATATATAAATTATACCGTATATTTAGTTCAACAAAATTATTTATTTTGATTGTTTAATATTAGTAAAGATGTTGCCAACATGAAGCGATAGTTTATACTACATCAGGTAATGTTTTCCAGGAAGGCGACCGAGGGTTGGTCGAGGGTAATAAATCTATGGTTCTGTTATTGGTTGAGGTAGTCTCGCCTGACGTCATGTACAATGGGTGGCCTTGGCCCGATGAGGACTTTACTAAGGTGATTACATTTGCAGATTTTTTTGTTTCTGTAATAGTTGAGTTAATACAAGCCTTTGTCTATCACAAAACAGAGTGGCTCGTGTTAGTTCAGCTTTAATTTTATAATTGTATTTATAGAATGATATAACACAGTTTAAGTAGATCCGGTCTATTTAATTTTCAAATGAATTAGTATATTTTCAGCCCTTAACGACACGGGTTATAAAATTTTACTCTACTATACTAGATTAAAATGAGTCGATAAATTAATTTGTAATTATTTTTTCTTTTTTGATAACTTTTTTAGTTTGCCGGAATAAAAAGTAGTCTAGATGCTATCCAGAGCATAATTAATCTTTGCTAAAATTAACCCGGATCTGTTCTGCCATTTTGGCGTATCGAGTCACAAATATTTTTGTACGAAAAATGCTAGCAGTGCTTTAAAAATTTCCAAAATGAGTAGGTAGGTAGTGTAACTAAATTAGTAAATATAAAGAATTCAAAGCAAAAGTAAGGAGTGTGTGTTGTGTCTGTCAGCAAGTGAGCATCGAGCGCGAGCTGTACATGTGCGGCGCGCTGGACGGCGCGGGCGTGGCGCGCGCGGCGCTGCGGCGGGCGGCGCGCGCGCGGCCCTGTCTGTGCCTCGCCTCCACGCTGCTGCGCGCCAAGGCCGCCTCCTTCCTGCACCGCCTCTCCGCCTACCTGGGTACACGCCCCGTCCTAGCCGAACTGTCACTTGATGCGTTGGATACGGTGTCGATTTAGTTCCGTGCGAATATTTTGTGTAGTACGAAGTAGAGATAATTATGACCGCGCTGCGAAATAAAATTCGCGCGTTTCGCTCCGTTGTGCGATGGCGCTTTTTATGTAGAAAAAACTTTTCATGGGTCTCGATGCCATAGATGGTATTTAATGTTCGTGACATCTTTTGATACGTGAATATGAATAAAAAAAAATATTCTGTTATCCACTCGGACGTCTAAGCCGAAAACTGTAGTAGACTAACGAAAATCGTTCGTAATTTAATCTACAATTCATACTAAGCGTATTTCCGATCATGAAATATGATACCCGAGAATAAAACCTCGCGATGAAATACGGTTGTGCGGACAAGCCATTTTCATCGTTTTTGTTATGATAAAAGCGGTCGCCCATATTTCAGAATTCGAATCAAATCCAATTTTAAAATCTTATTTTTTTACACAGAGCTTTTTTTAAATTAATATCACACATAGTAAAGTTATGCCAAACCGTTAACAGAACCGGATATAGATAAATTGCACTGTGTTTGATATGCAAGTAAAAAGGGGTACAGAACTGTTTTGTTTGTTATTAAATATCTATAAATGCATATGTTTTTTTTTATCCACCAAACAATAATGTGTATACATAAGCATTTCTATTTTTCGGAGCACAATATAATATATTTGGTATTTTTTTCAGATCGCCACACTCAGTCGGCAGAAATGGCAAAAGAACGGGTTTCATTGGAAGATTTGTTATCCACTATGACATTAGGAAATTTGTTACCGCATCCACTCAGTCATATGCTTGAGCTAGCTCCTGAACTTACCGCCGGTGAAGTAAGTGGATACTAACTGTGAATAAAGTGCATTCTATTTTTTCTGTATTGGCAAATACAGATACAGATATATAGACAGTTCAATATGTTTTTAAAGGTTTTTATAAATGTTTTTAGCATTCAAAATTTTAAGTTAGGTATTGTTTCTTTTTATTATGTTTTGTCTATGCTACAGATAGTGCAAGTCCTGCGCGATTGTTTATGGAATTATACAAGAGATCATGTGCCTTCGCCTACGATGTTTCCTTGTGATAGAAATGGTAAATATTTTTCTTTTTATTCGCGCGTACCTTATTTGTGTAATAACTTTAAATATGAATGTTAAAATATTTACAGGTTTACATTGGCGTGATCCATCATCGTGCAAGCCTCCCACCATCTACACTGACACTCTAAGGTTAATCATACAGATGAGAATATCTAAACTAGGCCACATGTACCCAATAATGTTTTTAAACTTAAAGAAAGAGCATTAAATATAAATAAAAATTATAAAATAAAAGAACTTTATTATTTATTATGGAGTACCTTATTTTTATTTACAGCACTAAATATCTATAGTACAGCCCTAGAAGGGATTTCGGGATTTATTTATAGGGGGAGCGTTTAGACCATTTAAAAGAAAATCTCTGGCCAGAAATACTAGACTGTGTAAGATTAAGGTAATTTGAGTCAATTACATACACATTAGCGTGTATTTGAAAAAAAGCCAGACGATTTGAGCGTGACATAAAGCAGGAGGGTCACAAAGTTCTAAAAAAAAAAAAACGTGACCTTGACATTTGTTTATTTTGAAGCAAACAGTGCACGAGATCTCACATGCGACTACACGGATGGCGTAGTGGTTTAAGCGGTCACCTAGCGGTCCTATTACGCTGTGTCGTGGGTTCGATCCCCACATGGGACAACACTTGTGTGAACCACAAATTGTAGTTCTGAATCTGGCTGTACTTTGTGTTCGTTTCATCATCATCACATCACATCAACAGCCTTTAATAGTCCACTGCTGGACATAGGCCTCTCCTCCTGTTCGTTTCATATATGTTTGTAAAGTTCAACGCGGCACAGTATTCCTAGTGCGGAGCTGTCTTTTATACTAAAAAAAATATTTCATATTCGATGTACGAGTCTGAACTGACCACAGAATTCTGACCACGAACCATCTTTTTATGAATTTTCAGAATTTCTAACTTAAAAAATATGTAACTGATATTGGCGAAATGTCTGCATTGATTTCGTCGTGTAATTCGTGTCCATCTTAGGAGACACTAACATATCTGTTTTCATATTCCATGCACTCTTTTCAACTGTTATGCAGTCTTACAAACGAGACATGTTATAGAAGAGGAGCCCATGATGCTAAATGTGGATTTACTAGACCGTCTTAGCGACCTATTGCATTTAAAAGATAGAATGAATAAAAGTTGTATGATCTTTCAACTTTCAGCGATTGGAAAAACTTGTACAGATTTTTAAAAATGTAAGGAGAGGAAATCGAAAAATCAAAATTCGGGCGCATCAGATATTTTTGGGATATATTATTACGACGCCAAAAATGCTCCTTTTGAAAGACCTGAATGTCCTGACCTGAAAAATCGTTGAATGAGGTACTTGCACTCTGTAAATGGGTTTATAAAACTCCATCATACTTGGCTAATAAATCTACTATTTCTAAATAATTACCGCTGTTCAATGACGATACTGACTTATCGTGACCGCGAAAAGCTAATTCTTGTTTTCCCAGAAAGCAAACAACATCGATCAGCCTTTGAAAAATGTTTCTATTGCGATGGACTTTAGCATTATGCCTCTCAATATCCAATCGTAACTGACTGTTGATACACATTTCAATACGACATTTACCAAAAGTATTTAATTTTAAGCAGGCCTCCAGATGTTTTTCTGTCTGGTCATGCTTCTTTGCTGCGGAATAGAAATTATTTAAATCTGAATATCCCGAATCAGTCCACACTGTACTAGAATTACTAAACAATATGCAATGAAAACAATATAATTTAATCGTGTGTAAACAACCACACAGCCAGTTATACGTTTCATAACTTTTAACATGAAACTTGCGAGTTACATTTCCTTTTTGCTGGTTTAATTGTTGTAACTCTGGTACACACCTACCTTTAGACACAATTTTAATCTTTTTACTGAATGGCAATTGTGAGAACTTGTTATTTTTATTTTTTTATAGACATACATTTTCTACAAATAACTCACAATCAAATAACATTTTTAAAAAATCAACGGAACTCAGTAATAAACTGTTAAATGTACACACTTTCAAATGTTAAAATGAAAAATAAAACTATAATTATACAGGCGGAAAGAAAATAGTAAACAATGCGTATCATAAACATTTCTGCTAATTAAACAAATAAAAACCTTACCATATTCAAAATTCATAATCCGCATACATGATTTATTATATTTCTGTCTCTTGTGTTTATTCGATTTATAGGCAACGAACATTTCCGATTACTCCCGACAACTGCCGAACGGCGAACTTCAGTAGCCTGCGGCTGGAGGGGGGAAATAAAATAAATGGGTGTGTGCATTGATATAATACTTACATAGATGAGTAATTACCGCGTAAAATCGTTGCTACTGCACATATGTCCACAGGCATATGCGTAGCAAACGTCAATTCATTATTCAATGTGGCGTCAACCGAGTTGAACATAGCGACACATGACAGTAACAATCGCCAAAATGGCTAAATGCGTAGTGAAAGAATGCGATTCAAGGTCACAAAACATTAATAAATCATGCGGAATTACTTTTCACGTGTAAGTTTATGGTTTTTGTATTGATAATATCGTAAATAAGGCTATAATTGAAATAAAACACTGATAATTGTAATTTAGAATCAGTGTTACCATTAAAAAATCATTTTGGTTTTCCCACATTAGTGGGAGAATTTATAATTTATGAAATAATATGCTTTATACTGTTTTTAAACATTTTGCCAATAATAATAATATATAGGAAGAACGGTAGTTGTTAGGGCTGGACCGATCCCTTTTTTTTAGGGACCCGTTGAACGTTGAAAAAACACACGTCGAAAAAAGCGTAACCACTTTTGAACTTTGACGACGTAGCTTTGATACCACTAAACATTTGAAAGTAAACATATTTATGTCTCATTTACACGCGAGACAAGAACAATACCTGACTGACTTTTGTACAAAAAAATTAATTCATTGTTTTTCTTAATTTATTATCAATTTTAAATAATAATTGTACAAAATAATAATAATAATAAGATACAGAAGGCAGTCCTCCTTGACACGGCTCGCATAGTGAGGAGGTTCCTATCTTTGCAGTCCTAACCACTGGTGTCCTGGTACCTGTACCCGATGTCGGTGGTCTACTATTTTTTATATTTTTAAATGTATTTTTATTTCTTTTGTAATATATTTAAAAATGTAATTAATATGTATATATAAAATTTAATAAAGAGAATAATAATAAATGTTTATCATAAAAATAAAAATATAAAATAAAAAAGTAAATAAACATAAATAATTTTTTTTATAAAATTTTTTTTTTTTTTTTATTTGTTTTTTAAATTATAATAGAATTTGCAATACACCCTGGGGATTATTTATTATCAGTACAAGTTGATCATTCACTTTTATTATTGCTATTATTTTTACATACGTAAAAATAAGAGTGTATCATGAAAGTAAAATATCCACACAAACTTATAAAAAAGAGTCTAAAAGACAATTGTATACAAAACTGATGCTTCACAGCGCAGTGTGATTTTACACTGAATATAAACCCTTTTAACCAAATATTTCCAGTTATTTAATTATTTATACCTATTCTATTCAATTCGAAATATATTATTTAGAATATTTAAATTAATTTATTTTATTACAAAATTGTTTTAAAAAAAAAATTGTTTCTTAGTTGTTATGGGTAAAATTTCATACGGTAGTCAACACTGGCCCACCATCGTAAAGTTATATCTTTGTCTTTGTCTAATCCGAGCGATGGTATTGTTCTTGTCTCGCGTGTAAATGAGACATAAATATGTTTACTTTCAAATGTTTAGTGGTATCAAAGCTACGTCGTCAAAGTTCAAAAGTGGTTACACTTTTTTCGACGTGTGATAATGAGGTTTGCTTCTCTAGTGTTGTTTTAACTGAATGGGTGTGTGCGTTTGCGAACTGTGCACGGACACCAAACATGCGAACAAATTTCCTGCGGCATGGTGCGGCATGCGGCGGTGACGGTTAAAAATATTTAGATTTCTTATAAAAAGTGACAAACAAAGGCACGAAAAATCAAGTAAGTAAATAACCCGTAAAACAAAAACAAATATTACACTGTGATATTGAAACTATAATTTAATTTTGTTTAAAGTTATACACTTACCTTGAATGTATACAAAAGGAGTAAAAACGCGAGATAAGAGTAATTTAAAGGACGTGGGATGAGGAATATGAGGAGGAATGAATTCATAAATAGGAAACTTAGTCCTAGGACAATTAAACGTTTTCTCTAGATCACTATACCCAGTACCCACTGTCATCTGTCATTATGAGTGATCTGTCACAATTCGCTGTCAAAACATGGTCAAAACTCTTATTTAAAACGGAAATTAAAATACATTTAAAACTGAAAGTGTAAAACTTTAGTTAAGTTAATATTGCGGTAAAGATAAATTCAGTTGCGTATAATACAATGGCTACAAGTGATCCGAAACCGGATGTTATGGAGGATGATTCAAAGAAACCGATATGTTTAATTATTTTAGGTTAGAGTTATGATGTTATTGTTTTAATCTTTGAAACATGTTTTCTACTCTTAGAACTTATATATTTGATATATAATAACATATTTGATGTATGTATAGGTATGGCAGGCGCTGGCAAGACGTCGTTCACCCGTCGTTTAGCTGGAAAAGTCGTTGAAGGAGCTAGACCTTACTTAATTAACTTAGATCCTGCATGTAGAGAGGTACCATATCCTGCTAATATAGGTGAGAATTATCTACATTCCCACTAGGATAGACTCTGGAATTAACAAAGTTAATCTATTTTCTACTTTTTCTTATATAGTATGTAGCCATGCCATTTGTAAATGGACACTGCACAGAGCTATTCCATCAAATTTTTTTGTATTAAATATGCATTCTAAAAATCAACTTTAGGATTAGACAGAAGGCATAGAACAGTAATCAACACAACTAAGTATAAAAACAATATCAATATTGATAGCATTTTATACAAAACTATTAAGTAACTAAATTCTAACTAAATTTAAGTAACTAAAGAATTTAGAGTATGTAAGTTTAATATATTCACTTCTCATTGTAACATAGCCTCTATATTCTTAAGACTAAATATGGCTAATTATACAAGCTGTTAATTTGCCTTACTTGATATATGGGCTAGATGAGCTGATGTGTTACCTGATGTTAAATGGCTAACGCTGTTCATGGACACTTTCAACTCAAAAGACAACATGCTACCCTTTGAGGACTCCCTCCCCCTGAATGTTGGCTGCTTTAACCTCACTCAGTAATAAACAACAAAAGAAACTGTCTGGATGACATAGTGGTTTAAGCGGTCACCCTGCCGCTTCCTACTGGACTGTGTGGGTTCAATCCCCACATGGGACTACACTTTGTCCACGAATAGTTGCTCTGAGTCTGGGTGATCTTTGTGTCTGTATCATAAATGTTCGTAAAGTCGCCTGTGACACAGGATATATTCCTACTGTGGGAGTTGTCTTTAGAAAAAAAAGAAATACCTAATAACGGTTTTTTTGAGTCCGTGGTATCACTCTGGTCGTACCAGTCCATCTGTGATGAAGCATGGCTGTCCCACACAATAATATAGGAACTAGTTCTATCTGTAGCATAATAAGTAATACAACCTATAGTGAGTGTATAAATATTAATCCCTAGATATAAGAGACACAGTGAACTACAAAGAAGTAATGAAACAATATGGACTTGGTCCCAACGGTGGCATTGTGACTGCGCTTAACCTGTTTTCCACAAAGTTTGGACAAGTTGTAGAACTGATTGAAAAAGCTGGCAAGAAGCACAAGTACTGCATTATTGACACACCAGGTATTTTCATATTTGTTTATTTATGTCCATAAGTTAATTTTAGTTTCTCTTTTATTTCAATGTATTGTTGCTGCTTTTTTATAGTTAAAATAAACTAAATTGAACAAAAAAAAAGAATTACAATAAGAACACATGCATAACTGAATAACTGACAGTGCTGTATAAACTGAAATACAGCTGTACATAACATGTACATATAACAGCTATAAGTTGAGACATTTCACACAAAACTGTTTGCTTTGAAATTGGGTTGAGATACTATGATAGCCATTTGCCGAAAACCAAACTTAAATATATTCAGTTTTTAAGTCATATTATAATCTATATAAATAAAACATTTTCATTTAAAAAAATGTGGTTTTCAATTTTAAAACATCAGAATTACTAATTTACATGATAAATATTTGTAATTAGTGTATCATGCCTATTGCACAATCACCTGCAATATTCGCAGTATCACTTTTTTTTTATAACCAGCTCTGGTGACCTTTTACCTTATATTATCTTCTTGTTTGCAGGTCAAATTGAAGTATTCACATGGTCAGCGTCAGGCACTATTGTAACGGAAGCTTTGGCGTCTTCTTGTCCAACTGTAGTAGTGTATGTAATGGACACAGTCCGTAGTGTGTCACCGGTTACCTTCATGTCGAATATGCTGTACGCCTGCTCAATTTTGTATAAGACACGGTTGCCTTTTATTGTGGTCATGAATAAGGTGAGTGACCTTTTAATTACTGAACAATGTTTTTATCCTTCAATAGAAATGTCATTACTACTAATAATTTCAAAATCGCAGTTTATCTTAGTGACTTATGTACATGATAGGGTTGGTCACAGCTAGAAAGGTGGGTCCAAAAGTCTTGACGTCACGTCCTTTTGAGCTGGATTTTCTGATATGCTTTGGTTAGTTGAAAATGCGTTGACTAATGCGAGTTATTGATGACTAAATGCACGGATGGCGTTGTGGTATAAGCGGTCGCTACGCCGCTTACTACTATTCTGAGCGTTCTAGGTTCGATCCTCACACTTTGTATAATCTACATATTGTTGTTCTGAGTCTAGGTGTTCTTTGTGTCTGTTTCACGTATTTTTGTAAAGTTCCCCGCGACACAGAATTTTGTTTTCAAAGACTACTCCCGCATTAGGAATCGATGCCTACGACCAATCTTTTGTAGGATGCTCCTCACTTGGTCTAGTATACCACGACTTTTTAACAGTTATATCTATTTGAAGATATATTTAACATCAGAATTGTAAGTTTCTTTAAATTGACATCCAAATTCGGTCAAAAATGTAATTGTTAATGTATTGTCAATTATAATTGTATCACTTTAAGTGTAAATAATTTTTCAGACTGATGTGGTAGACAATTCCTATGCAGTAGAATGGATGAGAGACTTTGAAGCGTTTCAAGAAGCGTTAGACGCGGAAGGTTCAGGTGAGACGGAAGGTGGCAACACTTACATAGACAATCTGACTCGCTCTATGGCACTTGCCCTTGACACATTTTACTCGGACCTTAGATGTTGTGGAGTCAGTGCACATACTGGACAAGTTAGTAACACTTTAATATTATGCTTATTTAATAAACTATGAACGAGGTAGTAGCAATGACATTGATAACCAATTTCAAAAGTTCTTTTTTAGCTATTTTTTAGTCTATATCATCATTGTTGGTATACCATAAAAAAAAAAACAATAAAAGAAAAAGACAAGAAAAATGCAAGGCGCATTTTTTAACATAAATTTTGTAATCTTAAATTAACAATTGTATATACTGGTTAAATCAACCTAGAAACTTTAAAGGGTTTAACAGATATGTTGTAATAAAAAATTATAACTCAAAATTTCGGTATTTTTTATAAAAAATCTTGAAAATGCTGAAGTTTGGGATATAGTATTTAATAACGAAATCTATCAGAAACGATGGGCAACTACAACCCCTTTAAGTATCTAGGTTGATTTAACCAGTAACCTGTATATTCAAATGAACACCATTTATCTAGGCAAGTGTTTTTTTTATTCTTCAATTCTAAAATTAGGCAATTTTGATATATTGTTTAATTACTACCCTTTTTTGCTTTCAGGGTCTTGACGAATTTTTCAAACTGGTAGATGATGCTGCAGAGGAATACGAAAAGTAAGTCAACTACAAATAAACTTATTACAGCTATTTCCAGAGACTAAATAAATTACTGAATGAAATTTGCTGTACCCTGTATACTTAGAATGAGTTGTATTTTAATTCTTAGAGAATACCGAGCGGATTGGCTAAAGATGCGTGCGGAGAAGTTAGAGGAAGAAAAGAGGAACGAAGAAGAATTAAAAAATAAAGGTAATTTGCACTTTTTTTTACATCTTTGCAATTTTTTTCTTATTCAGATAAGAACTAGCATTTAATAGAAATGGAAGAAAAAAAAGACAAGAGGCGGAGCGTGTAGTTCAAAAGCGCTGCTTAGCCATCGTCAACATGAATTTCTTTTAGTCGGCTCTTACGACACTCTCATGATGACGATATGTAGACCACCCCATATCGTCCCGAGGGTGTCATAAGAGTTGTATTCTCATTCTTAAGGTTATAGCTCATTAGAGCCACCCGCCACCCGACAAGTACCCCCTCGCCGCAAGCGGTTAGTATTCTTTGTATGGAGTACGCTCACTACATCAACTCTGGAGCGCCTCACCCGCGGGTTCATCACGCTCAGACGGCGAGTGAACCACTCGGTGACACCGCTCCCCTTGGAACGTGTCTGTTGTATCGTTTTTTGGTTAACAAGGCGGCGTCCACCCGTAGACTACACCTTTTTCTTTTTTTTTAACGTCTGGAAATCCCCTCGGACCGTCACCCGCCGGGATTTTCTGTTCGGCGGGGCGGTGTGTCGGACTCGAACCGACTAAAACCACACGGTGTGCCCTCTTTGCGCTTCTATTTTAGGGGGGGTCCAGGTAGTTATCTCCTTCTGGATCCCTCCCAGCGCCAGCCCGCTCCTGGTGCGGGCTCAGTCTCGGATAATCCTCTCTTTAGGGGACGTCCGGCACACGCGGACGCCGCCCCCTCGCGGCTGGCCAAACTAATGCGGGTGGAGGGGGAAAACCCATCCCGTCCACCCGCGGCCACACTCAGGGCGGCATGAGGCGCAGGTGAGCGCGCCTCCGCCGCCCTTTTCGCCGGCGGCGGATCGGGTCCGAGTGGAGGTCGTCCCGGGCCTTCTCCGCCGCCTCCTTCTGCGAGATTAACCCCTCGCAGAAGGTTGCGACCGCGGTACCCGTATACTACCCCTGGACCAATCTTCGACAACGAATGAACACCGAGTGACGAGGACTGGTCGGGTGGATGTAATGAGCTATGACCTTTAGTCGGTTGAAATTAGACGTCAAAATGTATAGTAGTATACACTACGCTGAAACCATACGGCTTATATAGATACAAAATACGAAAACCGAACCGAAGTCGCTTCTGAACTGCTCTTTCAGTAAATATTGGACGTGCCTTCATAAGCCCAGTTTTATGTAATTAACATTCAAACTATTTTTACGAGAGCGGATGATGGTGGCAATTACTGTAAAAGTTATTATTATCATAAATTAATTTGAACATTTCAGGTCCAGAAGATACAGTGATAGATAAAAATAAATTAATAGAAGAAGTGTCCAGCGGCCGTGAGCTCAGTGATATGTACCTGAAACATCCTGCGAATGAGAGCTCCAGTGACGAAGAAGGCACGGAGAACCAAACAGAAATAGGTGTGTATAATGTTACCTCTAAAATATTGCAAAGCATCTTCTGCATGGCGCCAGCCATATATAACAGGATACCTAATGTATTTAAAAGTTAAATATAAATCTATTTAAGAAGCGCCTTTATGACTTTTAAGTAAAGAAATGCTGCTATGCAATAAGTGACTTTCTCTCAGAAAAATAGGAATATATTTGCATTATTACTAGTTTGGATGGTCTTATTACTATTGCTTAATTAAATAAATTTATTTGTAACCTAAAGTATAATTGTAACATTTTGAAATTTTATACTGACATTTTTATTTGACATGTTTATTGACAAATGTAATTTATTATTCTTAATCAATTGACAATTATTTTTTACCAATTTTTGCATGCCGTTAAGGTAGACCGAAGAGGACATGTATAAATAAAAATGTAACACCGTTGTACACAATTAATCAGCAAAAAAAAATTAGGAATTATTGCCCTGATTGCCTAAATCTAGTTTTTTTTTTAAGAGGGGACAGACGAGCAGGTAATTAAACTTATACGTAAACATGCAGAACCCGTAAAGGATTAAGAGTCATTGCTGTCCTTTTGTTTCCTATGGATATTGAACGTGAAACAGCGCAGCTTAGTAGCCAGGTGGTGTTAATTAAAATTCTCGTTTCAGACGACAAGCCGCAAGATGTAGCAATGTTCCAAGATTTTTACAGAAAACATGTGAAACCCAACAACACGGACAATAACACATAATTTGCTTATTATGAAATGAAAGATATGTATATATAGATAAGAAAATAAACGTTTATTTTTATACCATTTTTTATTATGATAATATTTATGAGAGTATTACTGAGAGTAAATTTTTCCGCCGAAGGAGCCGGCATTTCCTAAGGCCTAAGACTCACTCTTGGAAAAAACGCCGAAATAAACCACATAGGTCTTGTTTTAAGTACGTGTACAATTACAGTTATACGGATCGGAATTCACCGGCTCATTCAATGCCAGTATGTACTCCCTCATTTTCTTTTCAGAACTCTTATGTTTATTGGTCATTGATACCAATTTCTCATTAAGATTATTTAACTGAGGATGTAACGCCATGAGTAATTTCTAGAGATTTGGCCCCCCCCCTTTTAGAATTCAACAACAGCCTTTAATAGTCCACTGCTGGACATACGCCTCTCCTGAGAAAGGAGGTTTTAGCCTACTATACCAGTCTGGCCAGACGGGTTGCCATGGGGTTTGTGTCAAGTTTTCCTTCCCTCTGCAGTGCCGTTGTCCTGCGTAGTTTGCTCCCTTAATCGGCTCTTATGACACCCACGGGATGAATAGGGGTGGTGACAATCTGTATTCTTAATCCGTCACCAATTTTAGAATTGACTACCTTTTATTCGATTTTTGCTTACACAACGACCTTTAATTAATTTTTTGTTCAAAATTGAAGTATCTGCCTAAAATATTTGGTTATTGTTAAATTGATTAAAAATATTGGCAATTATCTCATAACGAAGATAATCGGCGTACAATTTTAAACCTCACGAAGATTTTGCATAAGCAACACTAACGTTTTAGCCATGTTTCTTCCTATTATAAAACTAGTTTTTTTGTAGAAATTGTGATTTATTTCTCACGGTACAAAATAGGGCAAATATCTTTTTCTTGTACAGACAATAAGTATAGGAACAGTAGGGGAAGTAACAAGAAGAGATTGGTGACAAACTCATTAAATGGACAAAAATAGAATAAAAAGTAGGAATTTTGTAAAAAGGGTGCAAATCTTTATGAATTACTCTGGGCGTCACATTAAGGGACAAAGGCAGAAAGGGGGCAAAAACCGAACAGATCCCATTGGCCGTTTAAACAATACTTTTTAAGATATTCATTGGATTCTCCATATGAATCCACCTTGCCTTGTATTATATTATCAATAAAAATACAATATATCATAGAACGTCTTTATTTAACAAAAAATAAAAGTGCCAACACAAACGGGTGTAAAATAATAATATACAAGTGCTTTAAAATTTATTATCTACTTTACTGCTGTTGTTCAAAAATATCGTATAAATCAAATAGCATTGGAATATGGTAACCATGATACAGAACTCTCTTATGAAATCTTTCAACTATAACATCGTCAGTTTAGCCATTTACTATATACATGTACTAAAACGATGACAGGATTTCGCGTTTCGACCCGGTTAATGTCAAATCTTAAGAGGGATTTGACATTAACCGGGTCACATTTGACATATCTGTCAAGTCAAGGACACATTTGTCAAGGGTCATTTTAAAATGTGTTCTTGTGTCGTTAAGGAGGCATCCCAAATTTCACTGATTGTACTAAGATTTCTTCTACCTGTAGTTAACTTTATTATAACATTCTCGAATAGACCGCAAATCAATTTTACGCGGTTTATAAATATGTATGTTTTAACAGGTTTCAAATTGCATGTAAGTAGCACATATTTTCCAACTATATTTATTTTTAATGTTGATAATTTACAACATTGTGAAGAGTTGCTATTGCTTGACACCAGCCCTCCCTATAATGTTCCTCTAATCTTTAAGACTTAAATGAAAGAGGCCGTTTTGCATTCCCATTTGTCCGTCCTACGTTACGAGAGTTACTAGGACAGGGTCATCAATAGCGTTGTACATTTTAAAGCCAATAGTCTAATAATAATCATCTTAAAATCAACTGCAACATATTTGTGTAGTGAAATCAGCAATCTAGTGTAGGATGCACCCTTACACTTCTTTTCGCACCAAATTACTTACATATCAAGTTTATAATTTTGTTTCCACCTAGAAATGCATTAAGAGAGATTCCTAAGAGAAATATTATCTAAAATATTATCACAACGTTAAAGTGCACATAAAACCTATTTGCTAAATTAAAATTAAATAATTCGGCCGTGACTAAAGATAAGTGAACATAATTTAAGTGGTAAGATACAATACAATTTTAGTTATATAAATAAAAATGTTCATAATTTATACTAAATCAAATATTTACAATGGAAAGTATTGTTTTTAACCAACATATTTAAATGATTTTAATATTTTATCTACGAATTAACCAAAACCTTATAAGGTTTTGATTAATTTTTAAAAGAATTTTTTAAATTCCCTGAATGTCTAATTCACTGAACGCCACTGAACAAAATAAGGTGTCAAGTAAACCTTTTTTTAAAAACTCTTAAACTTGGGTTATTATTTAGATTAATTATGACATAGTAAGTCAAACTACTATTTCATCTAATCCTCTTAGCCTTTTTTCTAAACTAGGTTGGGCTTGGGATCGTCTGCTACGTCACTGCTGAACACCGTTTTTTTACGTGAAGCGACTGCTATCAGATCCCCAAAAACTAAGTACTAGGCGATATTGAAGTTACTATGTACATATGGCAACCGGGAACGTCATGGATAATATACTAATTTATTATTTGGCAAATAAACGTCGCAAAAAAAAATCGGAAAAAAAGGCCTTTTCGAGACAAGTAGGTTACCTGTATCTTGCTGTTCCCGATGCGTGAGGTTCATGGTACGCGCTGCGTACGCACGCTCAACTGACGAAACAAGCCCGGGCGGCCGCCGCGTACGCACGCGCCGCTGGCCCGCCCTCCGCTGCACGTGAGGGATCCCGCCTCACGCGCCCGTGTTGCTCATAATATTTTCGATATAGACACGCGTGCGTGCACCCGCGCAAGTTTTAGTGTTGACCCTAAGTGACACCTATCATTTACATGTTACAGCATGAAAAACTAGATCTGATATCACGTCTAGTGTTGTCAATTTTTATTTATACATAAAATATTGATTTGACCTGCCAAAATAAAATGTTTCGCTCATAGGAAACTATCTAATTAATTGGACCACTAACATGGGACATGGTATATTAGGTCTACAATAATATCGAGTTAATGTGATTCCTTAATTATAAGAGACCACCACCTTTTTTTGTTAGCTAACAATTGTAAGATCTATTATGCATTTTCCTCTTTTACACAAAACACTTAGCACGTCTAGGTGCCCAGGAAACTATACAGGTAATTAAAACATTCAGGGAATCAGACGTTATGAAGCAAAGTCATTTAAAGTTTAAAAAATCACCCTAGATGAAGTCCGTTCGTCCATCACTGAAACTTCTATGATCTATGCTAGCCCATAGCGTCATTAACTTTTATGATAACGTTATATAATTATTATCATTTGATTTTTCGAGAGCCTAGACTTAGTCCCTTTTGTGTTAGGTTAGTTTATTTTAAGTACTACCGTAACGTAATTTTAATCGCCGTAACAATTTTATTAATAATTTAATTATTAATTCGTTTTTACAAATAATCACAGATAACTTACAATTTCAATTTAAAGTACCTAAGGACGAAACAATGATATAAGTAGATATTTATTTAAACTATTATTTTAATAAACTATTTCACTTGAAATAGTTTTAGTTTGAACATTCTGTTGTTGCCTTAATCAAAAAAGAGATAACACTGAAGAGTAATCAAATTAGGGAGCTGCCTTCTACATCAAGTGTCAAATTTGTATGTATGGATGTAATTTTCAATGAATTTCTAATAGTATTTATTTCATGCCTTGAGTAGACCTTTTAAGTAGTTTAAAATGAGGGCATTTTACGTCATATTAACAGAACACATTTTTTATTTATTTATTGAAGTATTTTTATCTAAGTATTATTCTACTAAGCCGAATGTTTTTTCTTAATAAAATATCGGTACCATAATTAATGAATATTTAGACAACTATACCTTCTTATCTCTCTATCTTACTTTAAGATGATTCACGAAGGGAGGGGGGGGGGGGGGGGTTTGGCAGTATGAGTTAACTCACTGAATGTGGGCGAAAATACTTGTAGCTTTATGAATATTCGAGAAAATAGATTGAATCGGAATTCTTCTTCTCCGGTATAGTGTGTAATGGTATAAAGGTTTATATGAGTAATCCTAGCACCATATATTTTAAAAGGTGTTGAAAAGCCTTTTGGATCACGTTTATTTTCAACTTTTGGATGTTGGAGAAGACTTTAGAGTGAGCGTTAATTGGATAAGTACACAACTGTTGCTACAATCTCTAACTCTAATCCCGCCCACTAAAAGGTCTTCTTACGTCTTAAGGTTTGTGCAGACAACAACCGAGGCGGGATGGATGGCAAGAGTACATTTCTTTCTACCGCTGATGTCGCATCACCACTCTGCCTCCAGTTTCATGTTTTACCGAAACCAAATTCAAACAAACACTTCCAATTTCAAAGTTGTAAAAAATGTTTTCTGATTTGCCTATAAAAATAGTATCATTATTATTTCTTGTGGTGCACTATGAAAAACGTTACTTTTTGTAACTTAAATCAATAAAATGTATATAAAACAAAAAGAAAATCGTTGAAACGTGCATAATTATTTTTAACGAAAATGAGAATAAATATATGAATAAATTAAATGTACACCCAAATGACTGTGAGATGTATTAATGTTCTAGGAGAATCTCCGTGGTCTAGAAGATTCTTTGTGTTCTAAAACTTAAATCTACACAGTCCACGTGAATATTAATTAAGTCCTCTAAATAATCTTACAGCACACATGGGTCAGTCGTCTGGTTCGTCGTGCCTGTGGCCATTGTGACCGTTTACTTGACTCGTAACACTGCCACGACCAGCCCGTTCTGCGGAACCTTCTTTGAGATGCCATGCCGGTAGATATGAGATGTTACCAGAAGCATCTTTGATTTCTAGCTTGGGGTTTGGTCTCGTGTTGTGCTTGCTGCCTATAGAGGTGTACCTGTGAAGAGATTTTTTAAATTGAGACACGTCTAATAGTCGTCTGGTCTCAAAATACAGACAGGTATAGGTTTGTCTATTACTCAAAATACATAAAATTATAGACAAATACGCATAGACATAGACAAAATGATCGAGTCCAAGGCCCCTGGCTCAGCAATCAGTATATAGATACGATCGACTGATGATTATAATACCGAATTTTCCTCTAATTAGGCAAAATTAAATCCATTCCAACTTTAGTAAATAGTTTTAAATATTATTCATTAATAACAAACAGTCTTACAACTGCCAGATTATTCAAAGAGCTGAAGTATTCAATGAATAATAATCATAGTACATATATGTATTGTATTGTATTATATATTTTTTACTTCTACTAAATAAATGTACAAATTTTATTAACTTAAATTAAATCAATTTGACACATTTCTTTCAATTTGATTCTTTGTGTTTAAAATGTATTAAAAAGCATTTTATAAATATTTTATATTTAAAACTTTGATAATAAAACAAATTATAACAGAACTTACCCTTTTTCATATAATATACAATATGGTACATTTTGTTGTAAGATGTAACTCCAAATCTGATGGTAGGACCAGTTGAGTAGCGGTGACACCCTCATTATCTGTGGCCAATTTGAGTCTGTTCTCTGTTCACATAAAAATTTAAATAAAACCTTTTCACCATTTCTTAAAGATTTTCAATCATTGGCAAAAAAATACAATCATCTAGTAGAATAATTGTAGGTATGGTGACCGATTAAGAATACGGAGTGTCACCTCTCCTGTCCATCCTCTGGATTTCGTAAGAGCCGACTGAAGGTCATAGCTCATTAGAGCCACCCGACACCCGACCGTCTGGCCTCGAGCGGTTAGTATTTTTTCTATACAGTTCTATGAGTATACGCTCACTATATCAACTCAGGAACGCCTCGCCCGTTGATTGACCACTTGTGGACGGCAAGTGGACAACTCGGTGACCACCCGTGGAGCGCACTCTTGTCTTGCGTTGCCCACGTACAGGTCCTGAATGTATGGCGCGCCGTCCGCCATACATTCAGGACTTCATGCGCGAGGACGATGCATCGGCGAGTGACGACGACCACCATCCACGGGACATTTACTAGTTCATAATGTGACGTCCACTCGTGGACCACCCGACTGTCACTGGTTGACTATGCAGCGTAGAGGTCGGGTGTCAGGTGGGTCTAATGAGCTATGACCTTAAGGGAGCAAACTAAACAAGACAAAAGCACTGCAACGAGAAGGAAAACTTGAAACAAATCCTATACCAACCCGTCTAGCCAGCGTAGTATAGTAGGCCAAAACTTCCTTTTTAAGGAGAGGCCTATGTGCAGCAGTGGACCATTAAAGGCTGTTGATGGCATGTGATGTCTAATAGTAACAAACTTTGTTCTAGTCTTGTAAACAGCCCTTCACTGAGCCTAGAAGCTAAGGTGTTGTCTGTGAACCCCGGCAGACTTGTCCTTCTATTGAACAGTGGTTCCACAATAGTCTGTGAGATATAACATATCTAGTGCATAATATCAGATAATATTGTCGTGACAGTTCCCACGTAAATGTTTTGATTTTAAACAATATTAGAAAACAAAGCATGTAAAGTCAGATAACAGAACTAGATATAAGAGAGATTAGTAATATCATTAATGCATTGTAATAAAGAGGTTATATTATATTATTATATTGTATCGACACGTGTATATACGATCATTAGTATACAATATTTGCAACACTTGTCCTCGTAGTGTACATAAAATATATATGTTTACAGAATAAATAAAATAATATTAATTCATGTGTTTAACCATTTTTAACATATGGACTTTTTACATGTGACCGCCAAAAACGTTTCCGCATCGCCAACTGGCAGGGTTCCCAGCGTGCGTGGCAACACAGCCACGCTGCCTGTGTTGCCGCGTTGAATGACAATGCAAATTCTCTGTGCTAGAAAAAGGCCTGTTTGTAAAACTAATTACGCGTAATATCTGCATAAATACCTGCATGAATTCTAAATTTTCACTATACGGGTCCGTCCGCCTTGTCCCCATCAAGCACGCCTTTATTCTCGTATCATCATTCAATAGTTTTTCTAAAGAAGATTTTAAGTCTCCCTCTGTGACCATCATTTTCAGGCCATAATGGCTCTCAACTCTGTTGACAAACGTCTCTATGGCTTTAAATGTCTCTCCTGTTCTGATGTACATAACTTTGAGTTGTTTAGCGATGTCATCTTTTCCGTGCATTCGTTCGAGTACTTGTAATGTGATGTCTAATAGCACTGTGCAGTCTTTGCCACCGTTGAACGAGAGAAACACTTCGTCCAATTCGTATTCTTCGAAACATTGTTTTAGAACCTGCAATGAAAAAAAATTGTTTGACTACCTACAAATGATTGTATAAACCTAATATGTAATAAGTTGTTGTTGTGGAAGCGCCACTTGTATGACAGGTTTAGTGTCTAATATAAAATATTAATTCTGATTTACTGAAATCAATCAAAATAAGAACTCTCTCTAATAGAAATATCGTATAAATATCCTATAAATAATTGATTTAACTGAAAAAAAATTGTGGTGTGTTTTGTATAAAAAATCACGAATTGCCCTGAAATTGTTAGTGTTGTAATTTACGGGCTCTACACAGGGTTTTCTGTATCATACTGTATTAAGATATAAAAAAACAATGAGCCTTACAAGTAACACGGGAAGGTGCGACCTAAAAGAGGGGGACATAAGTGTTTGCCATCCTTTACTAAACCCTTTTACCTTGAACTTTACGCTAGCTTATTGAGTTTTTACACGTTGTAAACAAGACAGAGTTTTATTTGTGTTGTAATCAAATTAATAAAAAAGTTTTCTTTTGTTTATTTTTTTTGACGCGATATTCGAACTAAGTTTTTTCCGCTTGATTGTTTTAGTACGCGACATATGTATCTTAATGTGTGAACGGGTTATTAAATTTTGAAATTGTAATGATTGGTTGTGTTGAAATCAGTTTGTCCTTTTAACTAGTTTGATAACCCATATACTATTTAAACTACTTTACCATATATGTGTAACGTTAAAGTAACTAAATATCTAGAAACTTAAACCTAACTCCAAGGCCATAGACATCACATTCATTTGACTTTTTTCAGTTCATTATTGTAATTTTCGTAATTGAAAAAAAAAACCACCTAATCTAGTGTTTTTTTTTGCAATTACAACTTATTATATTTCCCCAATTCATAAATATTAACACAAAAACGCCTTAATAACTACAGTCACAGGATACCTACATAATATATAAAATTTACATAATAATGAATGTATGTTACTGATAAATTTAAAAAGGAGGAGCTTGGTTTTAACAAACCGGATTTCTGAGGGTTACCTCAGAACCTCCGGCAATTATGAAGCTATTAGGATTTTTTAATTTTATTTATTATTTATGAGAAATCTACAAAACCAAGTCAAAATATAATATTTCTTTACTTATGAAGTTGGAGATTTTTAAAACCAGCATTTTTAGATTTAATTATCTGTCTAATTATCGCGCAATTCGAAATTTAAATAAATTTTATTCAAAAGCCATGTTATTTCAATTTAAACTTCAGTCATTTGTTTTAGCTAGTGTTTTGTTTTGTAAATTGTGGTAGTTTTTGGCTTCATTAATAAACTGATAATTCGTACAATTCTCGAATATATGTTCCTGCATAAAAATAACGCTACACAAACAACATGAAACATTAACGACTGCTGCTCCATCAGGAAATCTTTTTAACTGTAGTTTAGTTTTCGCACCATTCGAAAGCTTCTTTGACGACAATGCTTGAGATAATCTTCTGCACTTACAAACTATGAATAATGGCAATATTGGCGTAAACGGATAGTTCTGAACGTTGCGATATGTCAGTTCACGCATGGTTTAAAAGTACAGTCATTGCATCGTAGTTGTATCCGAATTATCCGGATAATCGGAATCTGTATAACTGAGGTGCGGATAATCGATTTTTTATCTGTATATCATTTCTAATTTTAAATGAAAGTATAAGTGTAAAAATTAAATTAGCATTATTAGTTACTTCAAAACACAGTTGTATTTTATTTGTTTGGTACGTAGCAGAGTTTTGAGGCAATAACTTAAAAAAATTAATTCTTCCTTTTTTTGAAGTTGTTTAATAACTGAATCGCCTATAAACATAATGATGTGCTATTAGTTTAATACGTAATATTAACCAGTTCATCGTTCAAGGCGACGTGAAGCAATTTTTAAGTTTCCACAAGCACGTTTTCTACACTTTCAATTATGCGTACTTATCGTTAAATGGAGAACATGGTCAAGATTGTCTATTTATTGAAGTTTATTCTTCTTAAATTGAAAAAATCAGTCAAACTGACATGTTCTAAGTTAACCATCAGAACTCACAACTTTTTGTGGCAGGACTTGCGTAAATTAGGTTCTTATCCGACTTCAAAAATTGAATTATGTTCAAAACAAATATTTAAAGAAATCAATTACTCATCATTATGAACCCCAATTCTTTTTTATTTGGCAGGGTATACTCCGTTGGGTCAAATAAAATTTTGAAGACATACTACCTACCACTCTTAAGGGTAGTGGGCGCATTGAAGTACCTGCGTGATACCTGTTTAAAAGTTAATTATTATTTATGTTTGATAGGATACGAATCGATAAAAAAAAGTAAACAATTAACGCGAGAGTTTAGTTTAATCTTTATGTAGTTTTAGCAAAAATCTTATCTGCCGATATCATAACCACATGGTTACATGATTTGATTTATGAGTATAACATGTGTTATGGGTCATGGGTATGTCTTTTTGTAATATTTAGTAAGTTTTATACATTTTTTAATATTGTACATTCAAATTTTACTAAGGTTAAGGTTAAACATTGCTGTTGAATTTATATCAGTAAATGCACATAGAACACGTGTTTATGTTATGATCCACATATTCCCAAATGCCGATTAAACGATAGTAAACGATTAAAATCACATCACACATCTGCACAAAAAAAAAAATGAAAAGCTAACTCAAAAAAAAAAGATGTAAGGAACATATTTTTTAAAGAAAAAAGTAACTAAAACTTTTTTCTACAAGTATGGCATGTAAGTAATTACAAATATGATTATTACCTCCTCAGCCTCGAGTAAAACTTCGGTCACCGGAGGCAGCACCATGACTCACACGAAACAGCGCGGTGTGAACTGAAACCCGACCGTTAAAAAAACTGGTTTTATCATCCACAATAATACCTTACTTATATATACTTACAATCGCAATACAAATTACTACTGACTACGATTTGATAGTGTATGTCTGTTACGAGATCAAGGCCAGAAATCGTAATCTCTTTTATGAGAATAAATGTAGTAGTACTTAGATGTTTATAAACTTTATGTGTAATGCTTGCTTTACAGATAATTATATCTATAGCTATTCTGTTTTTATTTATTACAAAAGGAGATTTATCAGAGGAGGAATGGCCTTGCACATTTTTGCATATTGTCTTTTGTCGTTTGAAAACTTTCAATCTCGTGAACACCAGGTTTAACTTGTTGTTTGTTAACATTTTCTGGTATAGGTATTAGATTCCTTAACATATACGTATGTGTACTACTAATGCCCCAAACTGATAAAAAACAAGGGAAGAAGGAAAACTTTAAACAAACTCTATACCAACCCGTCTGGCCAGCGTGATATAGTAGGCCAAGACCTCCATTGTAAGGAGAGGCCTATGTCCAGCAGTAGATTGTTAGGGGCTGTTGATGATTCCAGTATCCAAGTCTGGGTAATCACCAGAAAATTTGATCCAAGCTCTTACTCCCATTACAGGCTTACGGCAAAATACCGAGAATAACAATAAAAAATCCCAAGGTCTCGGGATAAAACTGCAATTACAAGAGTTTTGTATAAAGTTAGGTATTCATTCGCGTTATATTGCCAAAATATTTAAATGTTAAAAAATAAAAGTCATAACTAAAAAGAGTAAGAAATTAAAAATATTGTTTATTTGCATCGAGAAGATAAAAATTGCTGGAGCGGAGTTATAAAATCGTCATTAAATTGATTTTGAAAAAGTTTGCTAATTACGTAAATACTGACAGTAATTAAATTTAATCCCTTAGTTTCTAAGATTGGATTCAGCGATCATCAAATCATCTAGTAATCTAAGTAAAGCATCACCGCGTGTTGCCACTAGTAAGTAGTATAACTTAACACCTGTTTTTGAATGGTTGGTTGAATAGTATAATGTATTCTGCAGACAGGTTGTTGTTAGAACAGTTGATAATTTTGTAATTACTCCGCAAATAGACCAATGTACTTATTTGGAAATAGTATATTTCCTTCTCTACGTGTCACATTACCTAAATTGTATATCGGGTAGTTTTAAGTATTATACCTTTTTATGGCATACGACTAGGCGAATCACCTTATGGTAAGTGATAACCGTCGCTCATAGCCCTCTCCAACTCAGGAAGTACAAACGCATTGCCTAAAAAAATTGGTAAATACTGCAGTGTACGATATGGCATACATCAAAATATTTTTCAGAAATATGTCAATCTTTTTCCGTACACATTTACGAGGATTCTATCGCCTTAAAAATTTCCTCCCAATAAAAACAAAAACTTGCTTGTGCAGAGTTTAATTTTTCCACTTATTGACTATGGTGATGTGTGTTATCTCGATTTGAATGCAGATCTGCTAATAAATTAGACCGACTTCTCAACAATTGCATTCGATTCATTTTCAACCTGCGAAAATACGATCACATATCCGCTTGCCGTACGCAACTGTCATGGTTACCTATAAGACAGCGCCGCAGTTCGAGAGCTCTGACTGTGTTACACTCTCTTCTCAACTCATCTAACTCACCTACCTACTTAAAATCCCACTTTCAATATCTCTGCTCTAATCATGACAGAACTCTTCGCTCTTCCAACAATCTTCTCCTTCTTTGTCCTTCACATAATTCCAGTATGGTCCATTCTTCCTTCCCTGTTCAAGCTGTAACTCTTTGGAACACACTCCCACTAGAAATCAGGATGTCCACTAACCGATACACTTTTAAGCTTAAAGTACGGAAGCTCTATAGAGACTTGTTGATGGAGTCATCAGAATAACACCCTAAGAATATTTTTATTTTCATATATATTATAATATATTACTCGTATATATTTTTTGTCATTTATTATGATATTTATATGTATAAACTCTATGTATGTATATCTAGTACTTATATATCTGTAGGATTTGTTCTTTTCTGCCATTGTAACATGGCTTCATTCAGTCTCATCTTTACCTGTCCCAAATATACACCTGCCACACACAGCTTTGCAACACCCAAAGGTTTGACTGGAAGAAAACGCCTGAGGCATTAAGTCCGCCTTATGCAATATGTTTGCAGGAAGACTCAATAAATAAATAAATAAATATAGAAACATTGAATGCCTTTCTGTTAATTGTCTCTTAGCTGATTCTGGCTTTCACTAATTAAAAACGAAAGGCCTAGTGTGGATTAACAGACTTCACGAACTTTCAATAACTTATACAGACATTTATTTTTTCTTTCTGTTATCTTCTTTTCTGTAAATCGTTGCGAAGTTCCAGTTCAGGAGTCAGAGGTTTACTGTGACGTCAAAGTATAATCGCAATGCAATAAATATAAGAGCTTATCAGTAGAACAAACTGTCAGCATAAAGAGTGTAGTGGAATCTAACAGCGCATTTCAGAACTGTTTATCAGGTAATAGTTGCTAAGGCCAACTCCAATTCTAGTAGAGACCTACTTTGCCCTATAAACAATTAATTTATTTCAGCTTTAACAAACTTATAAGACATGACAATTTTGTTATTGTTTGTCAACACTATTAAACCCCAATTCAATATTTAATATAGATAAACTGATAAGATCTTAGTGAGCTTTAAAATTAGCAATTTGATTACAAAATAATTATAATTATGGATTACGGTGAAATAGATAACAGCTTATTTTTTCTCGTTTCTTTTTACATAGGAAAGGCTAACATATTCTCTGTATTTGGCAACTCGCAATTTAAGAATTGTTATTGCAAAACTTTATGCCAGAAATACCTCTCAATAATATTATATATAATTAATAGTAATAATAGTAATTAAACGTCTTGTTAAACTGACATTAGGCCAGTTTGTGACTTTGTTTCTATAAGTTGGTGCCGGTGTCCCGCAAGGCTATGTTCTATCACCCACACTGTATCTTATGCATATCAATGACATGTTGCAAACTAGTAGCATCCATTGCTATGCAGATGATAGCACGGGAGATGCCCTTTACACCGGCCGCCCTAATTACTATTATTTGCCCTTTTATTCTGGATTGTTTATGTTTCTCTATCATAAATGTTGTTATAGTACGTGAGGGACATACCATCGTTCCACACGGCAAAATTTTCATCCCCATTAAAGTGATTGCAAATCACCAAATAATTGGCACACCACGACTGTGCGCTTTCCAAGACACTTTTTGGCTCGCACAACGAATCTGCTGTGGAACAAATTTTCGCCTGCGGTATTCGCCGACCGATACGACCTTCTTACCTTCAAAAAAAGAAGGTCGGCACCGCGTTTTTGACTCCTGAGTTGCAGGCATTCATGAGCGACGGTAGTCACTTTCCATCAGAAGACCCGTCTGCTCGTTTGCTCTCGCTTCCATAAAAAAAGTAAGCCTTGTTTTAAATCCCGCATAAGAAACTATTCCAACTAGAGAAAACCCCCTATAGCACGAAATGTGTATAAAGAGAAAGAGATAATAGTGGCAAATATAGATAAACACACGGCGCAAAAACAGGTTTTTAGTCATTACACATTACTTAACTAAATGTTTATTTATTTGCGCGTTTAGTATTTAATAGAACCTTCATTATTAGTCGAGCATGGTTTCTATAAAATCAGTTGGTAAACATGGTCTAAGCCGTAGAAGGTAAATGATTGCCCCATTGTCTACCATGCGTATCACTATTGGGTTATCTATGCCATTTGATTACAACAACAATGTGACGTCAGTAATAGGCGTAAACGACATGGTAGTACTTACAGAGACGGGTGGTTACAACTCGAGCGAATCGCTAATGCTTTAGCGAATTGTTTTTGTAACACTTTGTATCTCCATCATATCACAAAAAGAACAAAGATTTTTATATTAGTTTTGCATAAGAAACATTCCACACTCAAACTGTCTGTGTGTAACTGTATGCTGAATAGGATATTGATTAAAGTGATAAAAAATTATATAATGATTTAGGCAATGGGGAAACGGAAAATATAACTTTCCCCCTAAACATAGGAAACGGAATCTGTTATGATACTTCATAACGTGAGTATAATTGTAAACGTTGTATTGATATTGATTGATATTTTCCGATACCTTACGAGTATTCTTCGTGATGTACATACATCCAAGAACTATGAGATTCTTTGATTTATAATCCCATTTAAGTCGCTTTTCTTTGGTTACATGCATGGTGGTTCGACAACCGGAAATTGGTAAATGATGTTAATTAGTTTCCACACCTGTCCGAATTTCATCAGATTTATAATTTCTAGATTTAATTGGTGACCGGCTGATCATATAAGCAGCAGTGGAAACTCTATCCAGAATTTCTTCGGGAGTTTAATAAACCATCATGATTAACGAGTCAACAATTATAGAGGTAGGAGCAAGGAAGGAGGCGAAGAAATATAAAAACTAACACACATACACACTAGGTCTTCCCTTCGCGGCACCGTGCGACTAACGTGTGACTTCATGTGCTAACAATTTAAATATTGTTTTCTGTTTTTTCTGCGACTAGTTTCCGGCTTGCGGGCGGCTAAAGGTTGTGTATAGTGTTTTAAAGAAAGTCAGTAAGTTTTTATTGTTTTTAAACAGTAATATAGTGCTGAATTATTTTATTACGACTATTGGTGAGTAAATTTATTTTCTTTCTAAAAGTGGGTAGGAGGTATCCTTTGTTTATATTGATTTTTCTCTGCGTGTTATTTATTTTTAAGCCTGTTCCTTTTGAAATTGTTGTTTGGTGTGTCTTTGTTTGGCTATGTCGGTCGTTAGCGAGTTGCCGGACCCCGGCGGTACAAGTGAATTTCTAACACCAACCGGGAAAAGGACATTTATCGAAATGTCACCTACTGGTTTCTCGCCG